ACACGACGCAACCGTATCAACTTTGACCTCAAACTTTGACCTAAAATCAAATATAATGCGATACTTAGCTTTTGTTAATGACTTTGGACCTCAAACTTATTTCTTACATTGCTACAAGAGATGCTGCACAATTATAGTACACTGGACCGTTACAGCTTTATGGGCATCAAAACATCCATTTCGATCACGCAAGCAAATTAACTCGATAAACTCATGAACAACACATTTTTTTATTACAATCATTTCCTAATATTCAAGTAATCAAACTAGGAAGTACGCTAAATCGAATCGAAATACAAAGTATCAAACACGAAAATCAAAATCAAGTTGAATTACCCGTAAATATAGTCTGGTTTAACCAAATATAAATTTAGTCCACGTGGCATTCGATGCCCTGGTGACCACGCTAAGCTCCCTACTCTTCCCCACACACGACATTCTCCCCCCAATAGGAATTTAAAATAGGAAAGCGAGGGCCAAAAAGCGTCCATCTCCGCAACGGAACTTTCTTTTACCCAAATCCGAACAATTCTTTCTCCTCTTCTCCACCCACCTCCTTCTTTCCTTCACTCCAATGGCGGCTCAAGCCCTTCCCTAAAACACTAAAATAATAGATAACTCCAAAAGATCCACCCTTCGTTATTCCTCTTCAGAGAAATCCTCTTCCCACATCCAAAAATACAAAATCAGAACCAAAAATCAAACATTTTTCTCGTCTCGTAAAATCCCACAGCTGGATTTTACTCGGCTACCTCAATATCCCCACTCCCGTACGCGTTAATCCCTCAAATCCTACCTTCTTCCTTCCGCCATTTCCCCCCACGACTACAAAAACTAGAAGAAAAAAAGAAAGCCCAGCAGCTTCATTCAGCACACCACTTCCTCATCAGAACCCAGAAGCCTAAAAATCCCTCAAAAAGATGCCGGGTTTCTTCGTTCCCTTCGCCCTCGCCGCCTTTCTCTTCCTACCCATTTGCTCGATTGCCCAGACTCCCGGCGGCGGGACCCGAGCTACACCTTCGGCGGCGGCGCCGGCGCCTGCTGCGGACAACTGCAACGGGATCTTCCTCTCCTACCGTACGGGGACCGGATCCAAGATCGCGCCCACTGACCCGAAGCACCAGCCGTACCGATTCGAGTCCACGCTCATTGTGCAAAACAACGGGATCGAGAGGCTCAAGTCGTGGCAGGTCTACGTAGGGTTCAAGCACGACGAGGTCTTGGTCTCGGCGAGCAACGCGATTCTGGCTGATGGGTCGAGCTACCCTGCTTTGGTGGGGAACGGCACGGTTTTCGCTGGGTTCCCGATGACCGACTTGAAGACCGCGATTGAGACCGCCGGGGACTCGACTCAGACCTCGGTTGAGGTCAAGATGCTCGGGACTCAGTTTGGGGTCAAGCCGCCGGCGATTCCCTGGCCGGAGAATATTACTCTGGTTAATGACGGATGGGCTTGTCCTGCTCCTTCCACTCTAGGTAAATAATTGGAAAAAATCATCTGTTTCTTCATGCTGATTGTTCGAATTAGATCTAATTGGGCGATGATTTGTTGATTTAGTATGTTGGAGTTCATTGAATTAGACTAGGGATTGAATTGAATACTATAATTGTGACTTGGATTGAAGCTTTCATTTTGCTGATTTTGAGAATCTAGGGCTATCATACTGTTCATTTATTGTGTTCTCTACGTTGGCTTCATCGAAAGTGTTATGCTGACGGATAGCTAATAGTTAATGGGTTTCTTCCTCTAATTCCATTGGCTGAGAAGTTTCTGAATTATTTCCTTTCTCTGTGATGTTGATGGAAGCCATTTTGTGTTTTTTGCTGTACAGGGGGAGCAATGTCTGTATGTTGCATAAGAGATGAGAACGCCAAGAAGAACATAACTGTACTCGACGGTGATTTCCTCCCTCGACAGAGCGGCGATCTCACCATTGCCTATGATGTGACTAGAGCATATGATTCCAGCTACTGGGCACAAGTCACTCTCACGAACCACAACCACTTGGGTCGTCTAGACAACTGGAAGCTCAGCTGGGACTGGATGCAGGACGAGTTCATCTTCTCCATGAAGGGCGCTTACCCTTCGATTGTCGACTCCTCGCCTTGCATATTTGGGCCACAGGGCGAGTACTACAAGCAGCTAGACTTCTCCACTGTGTTGAACTGTGAAAGAAGGCCAACCATCATCGATCTCCCACCAACAAAATTCAACGACTCAACTGTTGGGATGGTCCCCTTCTGCTGCAGAAACGGGACAATCCTGCCGCCATCCATGGACCCGAGCAAGTCAGTATCTTCTTTCCAAATGCAGGTCTTCAAAATGCCACCAACTCTCAACCGGTCGGACCTTTCGCCTCCTCAGAACTGGAAAATCAATGGGACTTTGAACCCGGATTACCAATGTGGTCCTCCCGTGAGGGTTAGCCCGAGTGAGTTTGTAGACCCAAGTGGCCTCCCATCAAACTCCACAGCTGTTGCGAGCTGGCAGGTGGTCTGCAACATCACTCAACCTAAAGGATCTTCACCTCGCTGCTGTGTGTCCTTCTCCGCCTTCTACAATGACTCAGTTGTCCCATGTAACACATGTGCTTGCGGTTGCCCTAATAGAGCTGCTCAAACCTGTAGTGCAACCGCTCCACCGGTTCTTCTCCCACCGAACGCTCTCTTGGTTCCTTTTGACAATCGGACCACCATGGCAGCTGCTTGGGCGAATATTAAACACCGACAGGTCCCTAACCCAATGCCCTGTGCTGATAACTGCGGGGTCAGTATTAACTGGCATGTTAACACTGATTACAATCGAGGGTGGAGTGCTAGGGTCACTCTCTTCAACTGGGCAGAGACTCTTTTCCCTGATTGGTTTGTTGCCGTAGAGATGGATAAGGCAGCTGGTGGCTTTGAGGCGATGTACTCGTTTAATGGAACGCTGTTGCCGAACTCCAACAGTACTCTATTCATGCAGGGGCTTCCAGGGTTGAACTATCTTGTGGGTGAGACTGATGGGTTGAACCCGAGTAAAGATCCAAGAGTGCCCGGGAAACAGCAGTCAGTGATCTCGTTTACTAAGAGGACTACGCCAGGAATCAATGTGCCATTAGGAGATGGGTTTCCAACCAAAGTGTACTTCAATGGTGAAGAGTGTTCACTTCCTTCGGTGTATCCGACGAGTGATGTCAGCAGAAGGGCGCCTGCAAGTATTATGTCTGTTATTCTAGCAGCTCTGGTGGCATCTATATTGATGAAGGAGCTACGGTGGTAGCTTTGTCGGGAGATGAGATGATTTTTTCATTCTTTTTCGGGTTTCTAGGTCACACTGGAGAAGTCTTATGAAGATGTGCAAGCAATTCGACACTGGTAAATACTCTTGAGGTTTGTTGGTTTGGAGGCTGGTGATTACTGCATTTGTTAGGAGATGAGGGGTTCTTTATCTGAAAACCCTTGTAGTTGATATCAGCACTTTGTCGCAGACATACTGAATTGAACCTAAATGTACAATGATGTGATTACTCTGTAGAGATGTTTCCATGATTGACAGGATTTCTAGATTAATTCTTTGTGCTGCTGCTGCAGCTACTACTACTGCTACTATCTATCTTCTACTTTCTTTTGAACTGATCAGTCTTTGTATTATATAACTGTTGTTACGTACTTACCTCGGGTGAATCTTGAATATATTTCGCCACATGATGATAAAGTTTACAGCTTGACCAGAACCTAGTCTGCCTTCTTTCTCATGCTTGGAAAGGAAGGAATCGTATTGGCACACTTGGGTTACGAGATACATGTACAGATACAAACGCAAGTAGTCTCTTTCGAATCAGGCAATCAGCACCAACTTACCTTCAGTGCGTGCACTGTGCTGCTCTATCATCCCGCCTTCTTAAGCAACCTCCTCTGTTTAGGGATGGCAATCAAACCCATGGCCGCGGGTATCCGACCGCCCCTGACCCAGTTAACGCGGGGAATCCCGGCTTTGACCGAGTATGGGGCGGGTATGGGTAAAACCCGCAAAAACTTTGATGGGTATGGGCGGGTTTGGTTTTAGCCTCCCGCGCCCCATACCCATACCCGCCCCACCAATAGAATTTCTTCATATATAAAAAAAATATGTGCATCAAATTATAATCTATCAATGATGATGAGGATAACTTGAGAAAATAAATAGTAGAAATGCAATTGAGTGACCATCTTAATCAAAATCTAATTCATTTCTCTCAATTCTCATTTCACTCTGTCACTTTCCCCATTGTCAACAAGATTATGTTAGTTAATTATTACTTAGTAGATGTATCAGAGTTAGAACATAATGATTTGAAAAATATTATACTCTATATTATGTATTAATGAATATTTTAGGATCATATTCTTTGAACCATATTAAAAAAATGACTGTGTTTTGTTGACTTCCTGATATAATATGTTCGTTTAGAGTTATAATTAAAAAATTTCTTGTAACTTTTAGGTATAATAATGTTGGATGTACGGGTATGGGTATTACCCATGGGTACCCGAAACCCACGGGTATGAGGATGGGTTTGCAAAACATTCCCCTGCATGGGTATGGGGCGGGTATTTGAAGATGGGGATGGTTTAGGCAAACCCTCCCCAAACCCGCCCCATTGCCATCCCTACGGCTCTGTCCAGTTAATAGGGATGACAATTTACCCACCCATGGGTATTTTTGCCCAAACCCAATTATATCCATTTATATGGGTTGGGTATGGATTTATTCTATATGAATTTGGATAATGTTTGGGTAGGTGGAGTTGGGTTTGGATTTTATTTTTGGGTATGGATTGGACTTGGGTACCCATCTCCTTTGACCTGCATGTATATGTTTTTTTTATTAGGTGTTAAAATGTAAAGCAAAATTTTTAATGTACTAAAATATAATTTTCCACATATGATGCTGGACCTATTTGTATCTTCTTAGAAACATCAGGTACTAAAATGTAACTTTGGCTGTTAGCGACCATCGCTCTTCGTCGGCTGCTTCGATGGTGCCGAACGCCGGGGTCGAACGCTTCCGACTGACAGGCGAGGAGCTGGTCGTCCATCAGTGTGCCCGTCACCAATGTGCTCTTCGTCTTCAGCGTCACCTGCTCGCCGTTGTTCTGCACCGTGAAGTCATACTTGCTGGCCCCGTCGGTGGCCATGGTGTTCATAAAGCCGTTGTTGGATTTCAGCATCGACATCGACATGTACACCGGAACCCCGAAGAATTCGAGCAACGAGACTTTCCCCGCCGCGGTAAGGTTCTTGAATATGGGCAGGAAGGCCTTGAATGGGTCGTCGCCGTCGTCGTCCTCCGGCCGGTCATCGATCTGGGATCTAGGATCTGGGCTGGGCATCGAACCATCTGACCCGCCGTCATCGCCTCACAAGGTCCAAGAAGTTGAAGAGGAGAACTCGTCGGTGAAACAGGTGGCGATGACGGTCCCGACAACCGACGACCCGACCCTACCGGTGCTAACTTTCCGGATATGGGTCCTGGGCACGCTCTCCTGCGTGTTGCTGTCGTTTCTGCGTACCTCTCCTGCAATGCTCTGTTCTGCTGCTTCTTTGCTTCCGCTTTCATCATTCATGCCTATTTGCTCTCTTCTGCTTCTTATTACTAGTTACATAATCCATACACAATACAAACAATGACACAAAGAATATAGGAGTATACCTACTGCATATGGCTGGATTTTCGGTTAGATTGGTTATAACCGATAACCGAAATGTCAGTTACCGGTTAACCGCGAAGCCAGTCTCGTCTACCGCCAACCGGAAGTCATCGGTTAACCAGCAACCGACCGGTCGGTTACCGGTTAGTTGCTCGATTAACCGTGGTAACCGACCGAACGGGTATTCGGAGAAGAAGGAGAAGAAAAGGAAGGAGAAGAAGAAGAGGAAAGCTGCGGAGATGGGGAGCGAGGATGAGGAGAGGAGCGAGAAGAGCTCAGAGCTGGGCGAGCCGATGAATTTGAAATCGGAAAATAAGAGCAAGAAGGGTAAGAAGGCGAAGGTTTCCAGCGGCAGGGAAGAAGAAGACGGGGAAGATGACGACGGTGAGGTCGAGGAGATGAAGCCGGAGGATCCCAACGCCGTGACCAATTTTCGGATATCGGAGCCGTTGAGGATGAAGCTCAAGTCCAGGGGGATTGAGGTGTTGTTCCCTATTCAGGCGAGAACGTTCAATGATGTCCTCGACGGTTGTGATTTGGTCGGTAGGGCTCGCACCGGTCAATCGGGGAGGGTCGGAGGGAGATGGTCGATAAGAGGGAAAGGAATGTCGCCGCCTGAGGGAGGTGGTCGATGGAGGAGGGTTGGGCAGGAGGCAGGCGGCAGGGAGAGTGGGAGAGTCCATAACTTGTTCCATAACTTGTTCATCATCAAAGCCATCATTCTCACAGAATATGGTTTGAGTCAAACCATCAACATCTGAAGAGAAAATGGCTACACCTGCAAAATTTTTAGGACGTATGCATTGGTTTCATTCATACAAATCTAACATAACCAGAGTGTACCGGACATGGTTTCATTCATAACCAACATCTGCAGAGCTACCATGATCATTAATGCAATCCAGTTATGAGCCAAAAACCAAAGAATCCCACCACATTTCTGTATGTCGATCTGGGATTAGGGATTTGAAATGAAATGGAAAGGAAATTGCAGATCAACGAAGAGAAGGAGAAGAAGATAGAGATCTCGGTCTCCCTTTCTGCTTTTCGTTTGACAACGTGAGCTCAACTCAATAAAGGCCCAAACGAAGGATTAAACTTAAATGAAGGAAGTTGGGCTCTAGGATTTTAAGCCCAGAAGAAGCCCCAGGAGGAACAAAATGAATTCTGCTCAATTCGTGAAGAACAGAAGCAGAGCAGAATGTAATCAAGGGCAGAAGGCGGAGAGGAGAAGAAAAACACAGAGGCAAGATTTTAACGAGGTTCACCCAAACATGGCTACGTCCTCGTCCTAGCAGTCGTACTCACTCCTGCTGAGAGACACTATATTTTCTGTTTATAAAAACTCCAGACACAAGCAAATAAGAACCAGAGTATAACTCTGAAACAAGAAATTAAAACCAGAGTATCACAAACTCTGAACCAATTTCATCCACTCTCACAGAACCTATACCCCTAGAGAAGAGACCCTTTTACTCTCAAGTACTAGCCCTATACCGCTGTTGCTTCTTGCTTGTAAAAGTGTCTTGGAAAAGGTGGAGATGATCAAATAAATAGAGGCAGCAGCATAGCCGTTGTCCCTCACTAGCCGTTGAGCATAATCAGCACTTTCCTTATTTAGCCACACCTTCCTTGACTGGATTTGCCAGCTCTGATCTCGCCCAACAATCTCCCCCTAGATCAGAGATTGCAAATGACATAATACCTGCAAAATAAACTCAACAGACGCAGAGCATATCCAACCAAGAGTATATCCAAGAGAGATAACAAAACTGGTTTCAAGGAAGTCAATCACACAAAAAAAAAACCAACCGAACCACACAATAAATCCAAAACACCAAAGAAGTTAAAAATGAGAGGCAAACGCAAGCTCCCCCTAAACCTAGGCTCCCCCTAGACTAGTCACCAAGAGAAGAAGAATCGTCTGAGCTATAATCCACGAGACCTCCAGAGAGTCCACCAGGCAGGACAGCAGCTGCTGCAAATTGAAACCCTTCTTCTTCATAAGCCAGAGCAGCTGCAAACTGGTCTAGATCATCTCCTGCTGCTTCAGTATCTTCAACATCGTCTTCAGGCACCTCTTCAAGATCGCCGTCTTCTCCTTCTTCAGTATCAGCAGCGTCCATCTCCCCCTCGTTTGCAATCTCAAGCTCATCAAGAACTTGGTCAACGAGGAAGACCCAGGAGGGTTGAACAGTATGAAACGAGGTAATGGAGATCCCCAAGCGGAGAATCAGTTGAGTGATCAGGGGGCCAAAAGGGAGAGGACCGGGGAAACTAGAATCCCCATAAGTCATGAATACCCCAAACAGTAGGTAAGAGAAGTCCAAAGGAATCCCAGCAGCAGCATGAGCCATGATCCATAAATCCAAGGGAAGAATAATATCCAAGGATTGAGTGCGAGGTAACAGAATCCGAGAGATAACAAAGTGCAGAGCACGAAGACGAGGCATAACAGAGGAGACAGGCAGAAAGGTTGCTGGTCCAGGATGAATACCAGTTAACTGGAGAAATTCAGCCGAGATATTGAAGTTATATCTCCAAAGTTCAGACTCATGGGCTAACACTTCTCCTATAGAAGGGATATTGAGGATACGAGCCAACTCAGGAACAGGAATGGTTACTAGATGGCCGTAAACAACAGTAGAAAAGCACCGACTTTGCAGCCCAAAAGAACGAAATCCTGGTCAATGGTGAAGCGCATGGTTACTTCAGAGCGAGTAAGGGGGTTCGCCAAGGCGATCCTCTATCTCCCGGGCTGTTTGTCCTTATTATGGACATCCTCTCATTCATGTTGAAGAAGTTACGGAATGTGGATGGGTTGCTGGGATTCGCTATTGATGAGAATAGGGGTGTTGGTGAGGTCACCCACCTCCTGTTTGCTAACGATTCTCTTATCTTCTGCGAAGCATCTGCTGATCAAGTTCTAAACATCCTCGCCACGCTTGTGTGCTTTCAGGCGGTAACTGGTCTCAAAATCAACCTTGATAAGTCCATTATGTTCACAATCGGAGATGTTCATGAACCGGGTTTCTTCGCTTCTATCTTCGGATGTAATTGGAGTAGTGAGCCAGCTAAGTATCTCGGTCTTCCGTTGGGGGATCGTCCGAATGCGATTTCCATTTGGAATCCGGTAATGAGTAAATATCAAGATCGTCTTCAGGAGTGGAAAAGCAAGCTTTTGTCCTTCAGAGCTCGTCTGACTCTAAATTGCTCTACTCTTAACAGCCTGTCGGTGTATCATTTTTCGTTATTGAAGGCGCCTAAGACTGTTTTGAACAATCTGGAAAAAATACAGTGAAGGTTTTTGTGGAGTGGGGCTAGTGGGGAGAACAAAAGACACTTAGTCAGATGGGATCTTTGCAAAGCTCCAAAGAAGAAGGGTGGGTTGGGCGCGGTTGACTTAGAGTGTTTCAACAATGCCCTCCTTTGCAAGTGGCTCTGGAAGTTTGCTACAGAAAGAAACAGTTGGTGGAGACAGCTCATAAACTGGAAATATAACAACTCAGCTTCGGAGTGGAAAACCAAGAGGCTTGTTGAAGGGTTCAACAGCTCGGTCTGGGCTAACATATGCAAGGTACATGATCTGTTTTGGAAAGGAGCTAGTGTGGATCCTGGCCCGGTGACTCGCTACGACACAACACCTAACAATGGCCAAAGTGTAACCAATGGAAGGGACTGCAGTATAGTGGCTCAAGTGATAAATATCGAATCCACTGGTCTCTAGAGTTACTATTACTCAGCTTCAGTTTATTATTTAGCAAACCAGATTAAGATGAAAGAACTAAAACTACTCTAGCAAACTACAGTTAAAGTTAATCTAATTACAGGTTGGGAACTCACTTAGGTATGATTCCCCCTAGCCACTAGCCAGACAAACAATTGATGATTTCTAACTTGTTTCACTTTCATTCACAATGCGGAGAATCCTTGACTAGACCTTGAGTCTCGACTAAAGGAACAAGGCCCGCTTGAGTCAATTGCCTAGAGGGACGTATCCTTCTCTAGAACAACTGATCAAGGCGTTCTGAACTAGACTCCCTCTATCGAAAGAGGTTCTCAATCGATACAAAGCAGTGAATCAACCCTCGACTAAAGCAATCGATCCACTACTATCAATCTATGGTGCTCTATTGACCTAATCAGGTATTCCCTCTCATAGGATCAAAGCAGAATCAATAATCTTGACTAAAGCAGAATTGAATCATGAAAACATGCATAGATTGAATATGAAATCAAGATTATCAAGTCAGAGTAATCATACAATCATCCAATCAAACAAACATAGCTAGGGTTCCTCAAAACCTAAGTGAAGGGAAGTTACTCCATAGAGAAGAGAGAGACTGCAGTAAGAATCTTCAGATGATCAGTCTTCAAGTCCGGGCTTGTTCCTCGAGCTTCCAAGGCAAAGAAATCCTCCAATTCCACTCCAAGAATGCCCTCAAATTGCCCTCTCTCTCTTTGGTTCGTCCCTTGGGTGTTTGGGATCCAAAACCCAGCTCTCCTCTTCTCCTTTGGCTGAAAATCGGGTTTTAAGCAGAAAATCCCGACTCACACGGGCAGGGTGGCACGGCCGTGTGGCTTACCCAGTTGCCCGTGTGAGTCAAAACGCTGCGTTCCAATTAGTTCGAATTCCAGGCTCTTTGCACGGCCAGAGTGGCACGGCCGTGTGAACTTCCTTTTTGACCGTGTTTGCTCACGCAGAATTCCACACGGCCAGACTGGCCTCTTGCACGGCCGTGTGGATGTCCTGCTCTGCCCGTGTTTGCTCTCGGCGAAACTCGCACGGCCAGACTACTCCTTCACACGGCCGTGTGATCATCAGGGCAGCCCGTGTGACCTCCTTTGTGACTTGTCTCGCGCCCGATCTTCGCCCAATCGACCCCGAACTCGCTCCTAAACCTTCATTCACTTGCCAGGACCTGAAATATCACAAACAAGCACAACCTAGCGTGAAATCGGTCTAAAACACGAGAAACCACATCTCCAACGGTGTAAGAACAGGGGTGAAAACATGTGTAACTAACGGTCTATCACCCGGGTACATCGATCTCACTTTGGCATGACAACTGGATCCCTGGGAAGTCGCTAGCGGAGTCTTTTCTGCGTGCTGCTGCTGCTGCTACCTCCCCAAATGCTAGCATCTGTGACTCTGTGTCCATCTAAGGTGAGTTGAGTGTGTGGGATGTTCCTTTCTCTTTAAGTCTTCGGGGTGGGACGGAAATTGAGAGACTTACTTGCTTTGGTGAGATTAATGCTAATTCCTTCAGAATCTGTACTAGTCCTTGCCGGATGCTATGGAATCCGGATGCAGAGTTGTTGTTCTCGGTTAGTTCTTGTTACAGGTGGCAGGTGGCAGAACGATTTCCAGGGGTGGAGAACTTTCAGCATGCTTCGATCTGGAAGAGCATTATCCCCACGAAGATTTGTAGGTTCATCTGGCTAGTCTGCCATAAAAGAATCCTCACTATGGACAATATGAAGAGACAAGGATTGGAGTTGGCCAACCGGTGCGTGCTATGCTACAAAGAAGAAGAGTCGATTAATCATCTCTTGGTGGGCTGCGGTTACACCAAACGAGTTTGGGGTGAGGTTTTCAGCCCCATCTCCCCTCCCGACCTTGCCTCTAGAGATATTTCGACGATCATCAACAACAACTTGACTAATAATCTGGATGGTCTTGAGTCTTGGTTCCGTTCCTGTGTTGTCCACGCAATCTGTTGGGAAGTCTGGAAAGAAAGAAACAGAAGGATCTTCCATGAGCTAAGCTGCTCCCCTCTCGTGATTGCTAGGAAGACGGTGGGTGGAATAATTGAATGGATTTTGGCTCACAAGAAAATTGACAAAGATTAGGGAATTGGTTTTCTGCAGAGCTGGTCGCGTAGAGGAGCTAGCACTCATTGAGTTCCTCCTGAGTTTGACTCCTTGTTCTTCCATTGTCTCTGCTGTTTCGGTTTTCTTTCTTGTCTGGTTTCTCTGGTTTTGCCCTCGTCCTCTCTTCCTTTCGCGGAGACGGATTTCTGTACACTCGAACTCCCTTCCCTTTTCTCACGCCTTGTGGGATTTGGCTTGTTTATTTAATAAAGTTCATCATCATTATAAAAAAAAAGATTATGAATGAAATCTCCCACATCAAGTCCATATTCCACGAAGTCAGGAAGATGGACATGAATAGAGGTAGCAATGGGACGATTTTCATAGGCTAAGGCAAACCTATGACGACTGAATGAAATGGGCTCAGAGAAAAGATAGCCAGTGTAGGTTTGGGAAAACACACGATTCATGGCTGCAGCTAGGGAAGAAAACCAAAGGAATAGATAATGATCAAGGCAACTAAGAACCCAGAGTATAAATAGGGCATCCAGAGAGACAGAACTGGAAAGTAAAGCGACACATCAATGAGCCCTAAAAATCATCAACTAAAAAAGGAAGAACAGAGAAACAAAACAAGGAAGCAGAAATCAATTAAATTAAAAAAAGGACACAAGAATAATTCGAACAAGGAAGGTAGACATAACTATCAAAGAGTAAGAAAATCATGAAGATTTTCAGAGGATCTGAGACCAATGTCATAGCATAGGAATGTAAATCGATCAGTAGACAGAGGTTTAGTGAACAGGTCAGCTAACTGAAATTCTGTAGAGATATAGTTAAGAGCAATGACCTGATTCTGAACCAGTTCCCGGATGAAGTGATACTTAATCTCAATGTGTTTAGTCCGGAAATGCTGTACTGGATTTTTGCTCATACAGATTTTGCTAGTATTGTCACAATATAAAGGAATAACAGGCACAGACACACCATAGTCACTTAACTGATGTTTGAGCCAGAGGAGTTGAGTACAACATCCTCCAGCTGCTATGTACTCAGCCTCGGCTGTGGAAAGGGCAACAGCCCCTTGTTTTTTGCATGACCAAGAAACAAGTGATGTACCAACAAATTGGCATGTTCCACTTGTGCTTTTGCGATCAGTTAGACTTCCAGCAAAGTCAGAGTCGCTATAACCGATTAAATCAAAACTATCATGCTTAGGATACCACAAACCGACACTAGTTGTACCTTTCAAATATAGAAAAATACGCTTAACAGCAGTAAGATGACTGACTTTAGGTGCTGCCTGGAATCTAGCACATAAGCACACACTATACTGGATATCAGGACGACTGGCAGTCAAGTAAAGAAGTGATCCAATCATTCCCCTAAATAGTTTTTCATCTACTGAAGTGCCATTTTCATCTTTGTCCAACTTGAGATTCACAGCCATTGGAGTAGGACTAGAATTGATGTTGGAAAGATTGAATTTGTTCAACATAGAGTTAATATACTTAGATTGATTAATAAATATACCTTGAGTAGTCTGTTTGAACTGAAGACCAAGAAAAAATTGAAGCTCACCCATCATACTCATTTCAAAGACAGATTTCATAGCTTCACTAAATTCAGAGCACATAGAAGGATCGGTGGATCCAAAAACAATATCATCAACATAGATTTGGACAACAATAAAATGACCACCAGAGGTTTTAGTAAACAAGGTTTTGTCAACAGACCCCTGGGTAAAATTTTGCTCCTGAAGAAATGCAGTCAATCGATCA